GACTTATTATTAAAACTACGTTTTTTTTCATTAATTACGTTCGATTGTGTGACCTGAAAGTACAGTTCAAAAAATATACCTACTTATGTGATCTAAAATGACATTATCTACAACAGACTCTGTTAAACAGAGCAAATTTATAAAAATTTAATCAAAGTACAAGTATTAGTGGTCACAGGAGTTGGCCACTCTACCACAAGACTCATCAAAGAATCATAAAGAATTAAAATTTATATTATAATATACATGTATAAAAGTCTAAGTTAAGGACACCACACAAAACAAAATCAATGTTTGGTTTAGGAAAAGAATTTTTCTACTCCTATTACGGAATTTGACCGTTCTAATATCACTTTTATCTATGGAATGACATATATTCCGTAAAGTGTTACAGAATGAAATATTCTATCATCGGATGACAGAATAAACACTCGTGGCGACATCTCTGTTTTTAATATCTAACAAATTTTAGACCGATCCAACCCCACTTTCTTCCAATTAAATTATTTTTCTATGGTATTTTTTGGAAACGTAGAAAAAGTATAGTCTGAAACACGTTTGGAATTGCATATTCCGCTCTCGTGAAACCGTCTAACTCGCCTTCGGCTCGTGTGACAAACTCTTCACTCGAGCGGAATATGCTGTATTCCAAACTTGTTGCAGAATATACTATTAAAACTTTATACAAGGTACTTCTATATCCCTTACAGTAAGAAATCCCACATATTACAAAATCTTGTTTGATGCAAACTTGGTTTAGGTAAATATTTTTAACATTAAGTTGATCATGTACCTACCCAAATACCCGGACTTCCACATTTAAAAGAGGTTCTGCAAAATGAGGATATTAGATTATATCCCGGTAGGTATATAGAGAGATTTCAACATTTCTGATTTTACACCAGTTTCTATTATATCTTTTTTTTGTTGACAGTTGATAACACAGTTAATACAACGAACATGACAGCGTTAACAATTGTCTTATATTTAAATCCATTTTGTTTTTTACTATAACACATCTGTGGGTAAAAGGCATAAGGGGATAAATATATTTCCTGAATTAATGCGAAAACGTTTAAATCTTTATCGAAAGAATTGGTTGGTTAGTTTACAAACTAGCTAAAGCTTGGCTATTTTGTGTTACTAGAAATTTTGGTTTTCATATTAGCCAAATTGAATTGGATAGTATACAAACTATCCAGCTATTTTAGTTTCCCTAATAATTTCAAGTAAATTAGCCAAGATCCTTGGTTATTTTGTAAACTAGCCGCTAATTTAGTTGAAAATATGTTTTCAATTAAAATAGCTGACAGTTTGGCTAGTTTATAAACTATAGTTATATATTGGATATATCCAATATATAGTTATATATTGGATATATCCAGCTAGTTTATAAACTATCCAAGTTTGCACATTAGCCGTAACATATATATATTTGCTACCTAAACATTAATGTAGTTTTTAATTTTAATTTTAGAAGGGTAGCAGAATATGAGTTACAAACATCAAAGTGGTAGTGAGAAGCGTAAAAAGGCATTAGTAAGGGAAAATGAAAAACAAAAACAAAAAAACGCAATGTTGGCATTCCTCAGAAAGGAACCAGAAAATCAACAAGATCTTCCAGAACCACCATCAAAAGATAAGGAAGTAAATGCTTCAACGAGCAATATTAGTGATACCATCGAGTTGCAAGAACACCAACACGCAGACGATGATGGTAACGTTGTCATAAGTGATTTATTGGAAATTGACAAAGAAACTTCTCAACAAAGTAAAGCCCCACCAGTTGCTTGTGATCTAGCAGTCTGGCCTCAAAATATAAGCTCGAAATTTCAAGAATATTTTCTTAAAAACAGACCTGAACAAAATATTGACAAAATAAGTGGGTGTCTAAAACAATTGGATGGTAAAAAATCTAGATGCTTACAAAGTTCAACATCGCTACTTGTACTACTACTTCGTTCTGAGTATACACGTATACAAAAAAACAGCCACAATCGCTTACTTCGGATTTGTAAAAGTCCTTTATCTATTTTGCGTTCATAATGACTTCATTATAACACCGCTTTTGGAGTTGTAATGAGATATTTTATCCCACCCAAAATTTTGATTTTATAGGTTGGCTATACTTTAAACGGGTGACGTTCATAATATCGAAATTCACTTTATCGAATTCAAAATATCGAACACTTTTTATCGAAAATCAAAATATCGAAATTTTATTTAATCGAATTTTCAATTTATCGAAAATAAAATCTCGACTGCTTAAAATATCGATTATAATAATATGGACATATAAAATATCGAAATTACAGAAAATTAACATTCATAGCATCCCCCACTCGTCCCTACTGATCTGCTTCCCTATTTTTCACAGAAAAAAAAACAACACAAAACCAAACCCCATATGGTAATCAACAAATTTTATTTTTGCTAACACAAAATATATAGCAGTAGAAGTAGGCTTTTAACGGAACACCATGACAATAAAAATAACTGTTGTTATTTAAATATTTTAAGTCAAAATTTAATCATATATTATATCACGAGAACTATGAATTTAATCGGTTAAACTAGGCTCAGTAGTTTTTTGTTTGGTTTTTGTTGGAAAATGTTAAATGGAAAATAATTTAATAAAATCACGAGACCGCGTAGCGGTCAAGGGGTTTTATTTTTAATTATTTTGCATGAAACTATTTTCCAAAGGTGCTAATTTAACCGCGGTAACGTGCGTACCGGCTGAGTGAATTAGTGTGTTTTCGAAGACAATTTGCTAGCAAAGTGTAGAAATTGTTTCAGAAGTGTCTTGTGGGTGCCTTCGGGTGTATATAGTGGTGGTTGATAGAAACAGGATCCCCTTAAAATTGATAAATTAAATACTAATAAAGTATTCACAAGGTATGTCCACTAAAACGGGCGACCTTGGGTCGCCCGAAAATAATTCAACCAAGTCAACGGAGAACGCAAAAAACGACAGGGCTGTAAAAAACGATAACATCGATGTCAACAATAAATATAATCTATCGGACATTGGCCCCTACTTTGTTTATGTTCAAAGCAAAGAAAATTCTCAACGATTATTTCCACTAAGAGTTGGCCATTATTTATTTTCCAATGATATTTTTAAAAAATCAGTCGAAAATATTCAATCTTTGGGTTTTAGTAGAGTTAAAGTTATTTTGAAATCGGCAAATGCAGCAAATTTATTAGTAAATCACGAAATTCTTACTGCACAAAACCTTATATCATATATTCCAAAATACTTTACACAAAAAAAAGGAGTAATACGAATGGTAGACACCTTTTTTGATGACGATTACATCATGAATAATATTCAGTCAGATAGGAAAGTTATTGAAATTAAAAGAATGCATCGCAGGGTTACTGATAACGGGGAAATAAAAACTGTTAGAAGGCAAATGGTAATTATCACTTTTTTGGGTTCATCCCTTCCAAACTCGGTTAAAATTAACCTAGTAAATTTTCCAGTAGAACCATACATATATCCAACTGTTCAGTGTCATAAATGTCTATTTTACGGCCATGTAGAAGACCAATGCAAGGGTGTCACTAAGTGTAAATTTTGCGGAGAAAACCATCCCTCAAAAGATTGTCATAAAAAAGAAACCACGTTTTGTATTCATTGCCAAAGCAATGCTCATACCAGTATAAATAGAAACTGCCCGAAATTTAAAACGCAATTTAAAATAAAGGAAACCATGGCATATCAAAATTTATCCTTTAAGGAAGCTGAAAAAATTGTTAAAAATCCTGCATACCCAAAGGTTGCAAGAACACCAACACGCAGACGATGATGGTAACGTTGTCATAAGTGATTTATTGGAAATTGACAAAGAAACTTCTCAACAAAGTAAAGCCCCACCAGTTGCTTGTGATCTAGCAGACTGGCCTCAAAATATAAGCTCGAAATTTCAAGAATATTTTCTTGAAAACAGACCTGAACAAAATATTGACAAAATAAGTGGGTGTCTAAAACAATTGGATGGTAAAAAATCTAGATGCTTACAAAGTTCAACATCGCTACTTGTACTACTACTTCGTTCTGAGTATACACGTATACAAAAAAACAGCCACAATCGCTTACTTCGGATTTGTAAAAGTCCTTTATCTATTTTGCGTTCATAATGACTTCATTATAACACCGCTTTTGGAGTTGTAATGAGATATTTTATCCCACCCAAAATTTTGATTTTATAGGTTGGCTATACTTTAAACGGGTGACGTTCATAATATCGAAATTCACTTTATCGAATTCAAAATATCGAACACTTTTTATCGAAAATCAAAATATCGAAATTTTATTTAATCGAATTTTCAATTTATCGAAAATAAAATCTCGACTGCTTAAAATATCGATTATAATAATATGGACATATAAAATATCGAAATTACAGAAAATTAACATTCATAGCATCCCCCACTCGTCCCTACTGATCTGCTTCCCTATTTTTCACAGAAAAAAAAACAACACAAAACCAAACCCCATATGGTAATCAACAAATTTTATTTTTGCTAACACAAAATATATAGCAGTAGAAGTAGGCTTTTAACGGAACACCATGACAATAAAAATAACTGTTGTTATTTAAATATTTTAAGTCAAAATTTAATCATATATTATATCACGAGAACTATGAATTTAATCGGTTAAACTAGGCTCAGTAGTTTTTTGTTTGGTTTTTGTTGGAAAATGTTAAATGGAAAATAATTTAATAAAATCACGAGACCGCGTAGCGGTCAAGGGGTTTTATTTTTAATTATTTTGCATGAAACTATTTTCCAAAGGTGCTAATTTAACCGCGGTAACGTGCGTACCGGCTGAGTGAATTAGTGTGTTTTCGAAGACAATTTGCTAGCAAAGTGTAGAAATTGTTTCAGAAGTGTCTTGTGGGTGCCTTCGGGTGTATATAGTGGTGGTTGATAGAAACAGGATCCCCTTAAAATTGATAAATTAAATACTAATAAAGTATTCACAAGGTATGTCCACTAAAACGGGCGACCTTGGGTCGCCCGAAAATAATTCAACCAAGTCAACGGAGAACGCAAAAAACGACAGGGCTGTAAAAAACGATAACATCGATGTCAACAATAAATATAATCTATCGGACATTGGCCCCTACTTTGTTTATGTTCAAAGCAAAGAAAATTCTCAACGATTATTTCCACTAAGAGTTGGCCATTATTTATTTTCCAATGATATTTTTAAAAAATCAGTCGAAAATATTCAATCTTTGGGTTTTAGTAGAGTTAAAGTTATTTTGAAATCGGCAAATGCAGCAAATTTATTAGTAAATCACGAAATTCTTACTGCACAAAACCTTATATCATATATTCCAAAATACTTTACACAAAAAAAAGGAGTAATACGAATGGTAGACACCTTTTTTGATGACGATTACATCATGAATAATATTCAGTCAGATAGGAAAGTTATTGAAATTAAAAGAATGCATCGCAGGGTTACTGATAACGGGGAAATAAAAACTGTTAGAAGGCAAATGGTAATTATCACTTTTTTGGGTTCATCCCTTCCAAACTCGGTTAAAATTAACCTAGTAAATTTTCCAGTAGAACCATACATATATCCAACTGTTCAGTGTCATAAATGTCTATTTTACGGCCATGTAGAAGACCAATGCAAGGGTGTCACTAAGTGTAAATTTTGCGGAGAAAACCATCCCTCAAAAGATTGTCATAAAAAAGAAACCACGTTTTGTATTCATTGCCAAAGCAATGCTCATACCAGTATAAATAGAAACTGCCCGAAATTTAAAACGCAATTTAAAATAAAGGAAACCATGGCATATCAAAATTTATCCTTTAAGGAAGCTGAAAAAATTGTTAAAAATCCTGCATACCCAAAGGTTGCATCCAACAATAGGTATGCACCTTTAGCAAATAACATAGAATTTCCAGGTTTATATTCTAATTCAAACCCCCCTCAACCTTCATTCTCCAGTGTGCTTAAACGCCCCTTAAGACCTCCACCGGTGAAAAGAAAAGCAGGTAAATCCCCTCCAAGGGAAAATGCAAGAACCAAAATCCTTAAAGAAAAAACGTCATCATCAATTTTACCCAACCCTTATCGAGAAGAATTTTTAGCATATAAAGATTCTCTAGTAGACCAAATATCAGTATTTCTAAACAAGGTCATAGCAACTTTAGTGCCCGAATGTCAACAAAAAACTGACTATATTAATGAACTTAAAATTAAAGATGCTCTTAAAGATTTTTTTACAAACTCTCAAAATTTAAATATAGAATTGAAAGACAATATGCAAATAGATATCGTCTCTGAAATATCAGATGACGATGAGTATTAGATTATTTAATAAATAATTTAAATTAAAAAAAAAAAAAAACCAAACAATATATAAAAAACAACAAATGGCAAATAAAAAGATTTCTTTTACCATTTTACAATGGAATTGTCGTTCTATTACTTCCAATAAACACCACTTAATAAATTACTTAAACAAAAATAGTGTTGATTTTGTTTTACTGTCAGAAACTTGGTTAAAACCAAATTGCAATTTTTCGATTAATGGATATAAGCTAACCAAAAAATATCGAGTAAATGGTAAAGGGGGTGTAGGCATATTGGTAAAAAACAATATCGCTTACAACGAGGTTATGATTCCCAACAATGCGAATAGCGAGATAGAATTATGTGCGGTTACATTATTGCAGAATAGTCTTACTTTGGTATCGGTATATAAGCCACCCAATGTAAAGGCTACAACAAATGATTGGAATACAATTTTTTCAAATTTTTCTGGAAATTTGTTATATGGCGGAGACTTTAATGCACATCACAGTTTATGGGGTTCCTCCCACAATAACAATCAAGGTTCTCGATTAGTGGATGCAGTAGACTTGTTTAATTTAGTATGTTTAAATAATGGTAGCCCTACCAGAATTTGCCCACCGAACCAAATACCCTCTGCAGTTGATCTTACCTTTGTTAATCCTAGCACAGCACCATATATTACCTGGGAACTTGTTATGGACACTCTAGGATCAGACCATTACCCAATTTTAATAAAGGTGGAAAAAGAAATTCAAACATTCTCCCAAGTACCTAGCTCCCGTTGGAAGGACTCTAATGCGAACTGGAAACTTTATTCTAAAACTTTGCTTCAACTGATCTCAAACTACCCTCATTCTGAAAATAATGCGGAAAATTTAGATAATTTAATAAATTCTATCTTCGCAGCGGCAGATTCAAGTATACCGCAAAAACATCTCCCCTCAACTCGTTTAACTAACCCGATATGGTGGGACAGTGAGTGCATTAATATTAAAAACCTTAGACTTAGAGCTCTACAAAAATATAAGCTCAACACAACTTATGAGAATTTTATAAATTATAAATTGAGCGATGCTCGTGCCAAAAAGCTTTTTAATAAAAAAAAGAGGGAAAGTTGGGCCGAATTCATATCAAAGCTAAACAAAAACATACCCATAGCCAATATCTGGAAACAAATTAAAAAAATCAATAATACTTATAAGCCTCCCAAATTTTGTTTATCGAACGAACTTATAAATAATATCTTGGACAAAATAGCACCACCATATGTTCGTAACATAAACTATACTTATAAAATTAATAACAACGAGGTAATCGACAGCCCCTTCACCTATGAGGAATTAAACAACGCCCTAAATTTTCAAAAGAACACATCACCCGGAATGGACAATATTACAGCTAAAATGATCTATAACTCCCCAAAATTAGCCCAACTTATTCTTTTGAAATGCTTTAATGAATGGTGGGTAAATAACAATCGCTGCGATACACTAAAGAATACAATAATAATTCTAATTCATAAAGCTGGAAAAGATAAAAATGATCCTTTATCCTACAGGCCCATCTCTTTATTGCCCTTGATACTTAAACTATTTGAACGCATGATAAAACATAGATTGGAATGGCTCTACGAACACTGCGAACTATTTCCTTACAACCAATATGGCTTTAGACGTGGTAAAGGTACCTTAGATGCTACTGCCCACCTTGTAACCGATATACAAAATAACTTTTCCAAAAATGAGTTTCTAACCTGTCTATTTGTTGACCTAAAAGGAGCTTATGACTGTGTTGATTTGAATTTATTACAAAGAATATTAAACCAAAACATCTCTTTTAAATCAGCAGTTAATATTGTTGAACTCTATTCGAACAGGAAAATATACATCAAAGATGAGGCAAACACTCTGCATGGGCCTAGGACAGTAAACCTAGGGCTGGCGCAGGGCTCTGTTTTAAGCCCTATTTTGTTTAATATATATACTGCCTCGATCCACAATATATTCGATTCCACAATTAATGTTATACAGTATGCGGATGATATAGTTTTATATACCAAAGACAAAGATCTGGACAGGTGCATCACCAACCTGAGATACGCAATGTATTGTTTTAAAAATTGGCTTCAACAACATAATTTTGAACTCTCCCCTGATAAATCGGCAATAGTGGTTTTTAGTAGAAAAAAAGTACCTTACACAAATACCATAATTAAACTAAATACCTATAAAATTCCGATATTACAAAATTATAAATATTTGGGAATCTTCTTAGATCGTAAACTCCTTTGGAATAAACACATAGAGAACATAAAAAAGAAATGCGAAAGGGGAATAAATATCCTCAGAGTGGTATGTAAGTACAAATGGGGGGCTGATGCACAAACGGCTCTTCTCTTCTATTCTTCATATATGTTATCCATTATAGACTATGGCAGCATACTTTATGGCTCAGCCTCTAATTCTAACCTTGCACAAATCGAGGCAATAAGAATAGCGCTAGGTATAATGAGATCCTCCCCTAACAATGCCATTTTGGCAGAAGCTCAGCAATATCCGCTGAATATAAGAAGAAAGTTTCAAGCAAATAAATTTATATTAAAAACTGCACAAAACAATCCTGAAACTGACAAAAATATATGTAATTTATCCACTTCAGTTTTATCGATGGACTATTGGTCAAAGAAAAATTCACCACCCTTATCAGAAGCCTTCCTTAATTCACTTGAATACAGAAAATTCATAAAACAACAAAAAATAATGCCAATATTTTTTCTAGACTTTAAGGACATAAGTCCCATTACAAATATAATTGTCCCCAAATATACAAACTTTCCTAGCTTAAATAATTGTATCCTGCGCACAATATTAAATAAATTCCTGCCAACAATACAAATCTACACTGATGGGTCAAAAAGTATATCCGGAACGGGATGTGCCTTCTATGTCCCTCAAAAACAAATAACAGCTTTATTTAAATTACATGAATTTTGCTCAATATTCACGGCAGAAAGTTATGCTATTACTCAAGGATTATTCTGGATATCAGAACTTATTAAAAATGAACCGATTAATACAAACACCAACTTTACTATATAAACAGACTCTCAGTCGGTACTAGTAGCCCTCAAAAATTTTTCGCTCAAATATTGCAATAACAAAGTAATATGTGATATAATTAAACTTCACAAGGACATAGAACGATTGGGTTATAAATTACCTATATCTGGGTTAAGGGGCACGTGAATATTAAAGATAATGAAATAGTTGACAAACTAGCTAAACAGTCAACGTTAGAAATTGTCCCAATACAAAATATAATGCCTATTAGTGATATCACTCAGATCTATAAAAATGAGTCTCGTAAAGAATGGGCCTGCGAGTATTGCCTAATAAAATAATAAATAACTTGTATGCAACTGGAAAATACTTCTCTTCAACAATCTCCAGATTAAAACTAAATCACGGCTGTTTTCCTTCACATCTGCATCGAATTGGAATTAATAATTCCCCATTTTGTTCGTGCAACCATACTACTGTTGCTGACTTAAACCACTTAATATTTAACTGCCCAATATACCAAAATTTTAGAAATAATCTAAATAAATCTCTTTGTGACATTTCTGTCTTTCCGCCATACAATTTAACTCATTTATTAGCATTAGAAAAGGAAGATATATATAAAGCATTAATAACCTTTTTTAGAGAAAGTAAAATCAATTTATAAACTACTTAGCCTAACTTACAAACCCTAGCTCTCCTATTGTATAACCTCATGTGGCCCTCCCATGATCCGTTGTCAACCTGTATGTTTAGTAAATAAAGTCGCCTTGAAAGACACCTAGGCGTGAAGCGTGTATCCTTGTAATTCCTAGTTAAATTTTCCCAACCCGTTTAATTTCATAGTTAATTAGGTTTTTAAAAAGTTTAATTAAATTATCTCGTGATTGGTTTTCTTATTTAAGTAGCTAAAACATACATATAATATAAAAATCTGTGGCAAAGGAGTGAAAACTCAAGCCAAATAATCTCTCACATACACACACACTATTTTCCAAAAAGAAAAATCAAATAAAAAACTTACTGAGCATAGTTTGACAGATTAAATTTATAGGTTGAGTGATATACGTCTATATTATTTCTCGCATTACTATTTTTTTAAAGAAAATTCCATTAATTTAAGGTATGTAATAAGTAATAATTGATATTTCGTATACTAGATAACTTATTTTTTATTGTTTTTTAAAAAATGTTTCTTAAAACTTGTAAATAACACCATAAAATCGTAAACAAAAATCCAATATGGAGGCTAAAATGTAATCGCTGTTAAATAGTTCTAGTGATTTAATCTCTTATTTAAACGAAAATTCAAGGCTTTTGATTGGTTCATATTATAATGAGGGAAATAATCAACGTTATGGACAAAAACGATAGGTATTCAATTCGTTTTAAATCAAAAAGGCAAAAAGCAAATCTATTTAATAGTTATTTGTATACCAAGGCCGCGAAAACGCTCTTTAGAGTACCGAGGGAAAAATTGCCGCCGAGGCCGCTTGAGGCCGAGGCAAGACAATGTCGAGGACTCTAAAGGGTTTCGAGGCTGTGGTATACACAATATTTTTTGGGCAAGTACCTACAAGTTTTATTGCTACTTTGGAAACTTTAATTATAATATATTATGTGACAGATAATAAATTAAAAATAATTCAAAAATCTAGAATGGTTTCCATGGAAATGGCAAACAATTAAATGAGATATAATATTTAACAGTAAAAGTTGTGTCAAAGAAAAGTAATAATATTTAATTCTCAAAGTGATAGTGATACTTCGATAACCGGAACTCCTCCGGAACTAAAAATTGCTGCGAATTCTGCAGTGTCGCAGTTAGTACCTGAAAAAAAAGGGGCAGCTGCCCCTTTTTTTTCATACTAGTATGAAAAATGTTACAAAGACTTTAAAGACTGGTGCAACAGGAAGGACGCCAAAGGTTTATCTCAAAATGTATTATTAGCTTACCTTATAGAAAAATCAAAGACCTTAAAAAGTTCAAGCTTATGGAGTGTGTATTAGGGTGGGTCATTTTTATATAGAAAAAAGTATATTCGGCGCTTTCAAATTCTAATAGTAATTTAAATGTGCCATTATATAAGCTTATTCAAAATTTAGTTTAGTTGATTGGATTAATTATTTTCTTCTGCCCGCGCAATGACCTTAAACTTTTTAGTATAGAGCTGATTTTGATCCTACTTTGAAATAAGATAATAATGTGAAAAATCTGAATTAGCAGGTTGGGTATCCAAGAAAAATGCACTATAACAAAAGAAAATACATTTATTTTATTTGTTTCATTAAATAAAAAAAGTTTATAATCAAATTTTTTGTCACCACATACGTTAAAATATTGCTTACTTTCAAACTTGGGCATATTTTTTCTGGAATTTATTTTTGAGTGGATGTAACCTTCTCTTGATTTTTTGCTACACAAACGCATCGATGCTTCCGTCACAGTCTTAACTGAGCGCTCGACAGCCTGAGTATGACACAGAAGCTTTAAGAAAGTTACACTCAGGGCCTATTTTACCTAAAGGCCCATAAGGCCCGGGCCTTGGGCCCGGAGGAAAATGGGGCCCGAAAAAAGCCCTTGAAAAAAAATTATAAACCATTTCAATTTAAATTTAAAATAAAGCCATAACTATTTTATAAAGATAAATATTAAATAAAAGTGGCTTAGATTGGTATAATAACGATATTGATATTATACCTATATAATTTTAGTTAGATTCAAAAACATAAAACATCGGTGGTCTCTTTTACGGCGTTTTTGTTTATGCCGCTATAAGTACCGAAAAATCTTTTGCCGACGAATTACGAATGAAAAAGCTGCCGCTCAACGCAATCTTCATTACCGCCTAGTCCTAGTCGAAAGTATTATTGTGAATTTTATAATTTCTTTTTTTAATTGCAATCGTCCGAACTCCGAAATTTAACTTAAGGTAAGTTATAATTATTAATTAATATATTATTTTTGTATATGTTACGGCTAATGTGCAAACTTGGATAGTTTATAAACTAGCTGGATAGTTTATAAACTAGCAAAACTGTCAGCTATTTTAATTGAAAATGTATTTTCAACTAAATTAGCGGCTAGTTTACAAAATAACCAAGGATCCATAGAAAAAGCATATAAGGATCTTGGTTAATTTACTTGAAATTATTAGGGAAACTAAAATAGCTGGATAGTTGGTATACTATCCAATTTAATTTGGCTAATATGAAAACCAAAATTTCTAGTAACACAAAATAGTTTATAAACTAGCAAAACTGTCAGCTATTTTAATTGAAAATGTATTTTCAACTAAATTAGCGGCTAGTTTACAAAATAACCAAGGATCCATAGAAAAAGCATATAAGGATCTTGGTTAATTTACTTGAAATTATTAGGGAAACTAAAATAGCTGGATAGTTGGTATACTATCCAATTTAATTTGGCTAATATGAAAACCAAAATTTCTAGTAACACAAAATAGTTTATAAACTAGCAAAACTGTCAGCTATTTTAATTGAAAATGTATTTTCAACTAAATTAGCGGCTAGTTTACAAAATAACCAAGGATCCATAGAAAAAGCATATAAGGATCTTGGTTAATTTACTTGAAATTATTAGGGAAACTAAAATAGCTGGATAGTTGGTATACTATCCAATTTAATTTGGCTAATATGAAAACCAAAATTTCTAGTAACACAAAATAGCCAAGCTTTAGCTAGTTTGTAAACCAAAAAAATTCAGCCAAATAATAATGTTCAAATTTCAAGAGTTCGTAAGAGGAACAAGTTCTTTGATGAAGGCCCTGCACAAGACATTACTTTAAGCGGTGCTGAAAACTTTAAAATAAATAGTTTTTTTCCTATATGTGACAAATTGATTTTTGAATTAAAAATGAGAATGCAAGCGTATGATTATGTAAATGAAATTTTTGGTGTATTTTTTGTTGAACCCTCAAATGAAAGATTTAATGTAAGTATAAAAAATATAAAAAAATATATACTGAAGATTTAGTGGATGAAATTATACAATTTAAAGCACTTTGTAAATCAAATGATATTTCCTCTAAAGACCCCCAGGAAATGTTAAAATTTTTAATTGATAACAATATTTTGTCAACCTTCTCTAACGTTGAGGTATTGTTCCGTATATGGGTATTTCTCCCTTAACTTTAAAAAACCATGTCCCCAGTGTATAAAAGCCTTAAAAAGTTATCCGTCTTAAACTTTTTTTTGCAGTACATGTTGTAGGCGATCCTTGCTAACAGAAAAAAAGTACATTTAATGTAAGTCATTTATTGGTGCATTTTGCAGAAGACGGCAAACATGCAAAATGTCACTTCTGTCCCTGTCCCCAGTTCGAAAACTTCAACATTAACCGTATTTTGCCGGTAAAAATAATTCCTTAAAAAGCTGCGTTTACTTAAAAAAATGTTATTACGTTCATACCCTACAAGAAAATGTGCATATCTTGCGAAAAAAAAGGAATAAATTTAAATTGTGGGCAAAATAAATTTGTCCCCACTGTTTTAGGTCACATCTGTCTCGCTTAATAATAGCATTCCTGCGCGATCATAGATGGCACTGCCATCTAACGTCATTGCCTGAACAGTTTAGTTCTCTATGGTGTTCAACGGTGAAATGTTGTTTTCGTTCCGTTTTTAGAATTTTTTGGTGAAAAAACGTGACAATAAGTAAAAAGGTATGTAAAAGCTATTTTCAGTCCTTACTGTCCCTTGACAGTAATGTATTAATTATGTCAATTTGACGATCATTGGTACTTTTTTACTAAAAACAGATGAAACTGCAAACAAATTCAATCATAATTGGAAGGTAAACCTAACCTAAAATTTTTAAGGGGAGGAAAACGTTACAAATGTCACATCTGTCCCATGTCACTTCTGTCCCTGTTTTTAATTATTTTAAAAAGGGACAGATGTGACTTAAGTGGACAGAAGTTACACTAATAATAAACTTTTTGGTGCACTAACAAAAAGTAGACAATACTGATAAAGTCGTTGATTATACGCAGTGAGATTAATTTGGACAGTACCAGAATTAGAAATTGTAAGAAGGCTTACTTTATTGCAAATTAACATTTGTAGGAGATGGATATTTCATCAAATCGAAACAAGATTATTGATATTGAAAGCTTGACTGGGAGACTAAGAATATTAAAAAACGAAGCCGCCGTGAAAAGAAAAGAAAAAGAGAAGGCCAAGTATGAGGAAAAAAAGCGAAGGGAGAAGCAAAGATACTACAAAAAAAAACAAGCGCAACTTGCCATACAAAAAGTACGCGATATAAATATTTCAACTCCTGGGTGCTCGTCAACATTACCAGAAGCGCAGAGCTCGGAGTCAGCTTTGTTGAGGTCGACAGTGTCACAAGTTTTAGTTTTAAAAATATTTTTTTTACTTAAAAATAACAAAAATTATAACATTTCAGGGATCTAAGATAACAAAAAAAATAGCTACCAAGATAAATAAAGCCGTTTCAACTGAGGAGAAGAGAAGAAAAGAAAGGGAAAAGAAAAGGAGGCAGCGCCAAAAATTAAAGGAAAACAAGGAAAAACACGAAGAATATTGTAAAAAAGAAAGAGAAAATTATCAGAAAAAAAAGAGTTTAGGAAAAATTAAGTTGATAGCTGAAATGAACAAAAGGGAACAACGCCTTCAAAGAAAACAGTGGCGTATGAGACAACATAAACGCCGGATGAAACTTAAAAACGTTGAAAATTTTCTAAGTTACAACAGTCCGCCAGAGAGCAGAGCAGTTACTCCCGATAATCAAAGACCAGAATCTCCTGTTGTTTTAGATTTATCTGTCAATGAAGGTTTAAATCAAATACCTGGACTAGAAAAATCTGATCAGAGAAAAACACATAAACGAACACCCAAAGAAGCATTGTCAAATACTGAAAATACAAAACTTACTAATAAACTAAAACAGGCAGAAAGGCTATTAAATGAAACACAGCATAAACTTAACATTGCAAAAGCCAAGGCTGAGCGATATAAAAAGCAGCTACAAAGGGAGCATAGAAAATTACTTCGAAAATCTTCGACAACACCGACTCTAAATACAAAAGTTGATGGTATTATACAACGGGGAGATACAAAAGAAATAAAAAAACAGTTACTGTTTGGTGAAGTTTTGCAGGAACAAATCAAATCAAACCTGCAATCATGTTCTACCGAAATTGAAAAGCAGATAGCCAGTAAAATAATTAGCGGTAGGGTCGCAAAAAAGTACCGAGTAGCTGGAAAAATGAACAGTTTAATTTCCAACCATCGATACAACAGATCACTTCGTCAAACAGAGATAATGCCATCTAGAAAAATACGAATGGAAGAATATGCTCAAAAAATCAAAAAACTGATTTTTGATTTTTTTGTCAGTGATGAAGTTTCAGTTCAAACTCCGGGGAAAAAGGATTGTATTACTGTGAGACAACAAAAAATGCAAAAAAGGTTTCTTAATGACACCCTAACAAATTTGTACAAGAAATTCATAACTAAACATCAGAAAGTAAGCTTTTCTACATTTTGTCGGTACAAACCATTCTGGGTTGTAAAACCTACTGTTAATGCTAGAAATACTTGTCTCTGCATCAAGCATGCTAATTTTACGTTTTTATTGAAAAAAATGCAACAACTAAACCAGTTTTCTACTAAAATAAACTCAGTTGATGATATTTTAGAAAAAATTTGTTGTGAAAGTAGATCAGACCAGTGTGTAGCTCGGCAGTGTGACAGCTGTGCAGTAAAAGAAAAACGGATTTTTGTTTCTGAGGAAAACGAAAAACAAAACATTTCATACTTTAAATGGGAAACAAAAATAGAAAAAAGAATAGATAAAAACAGAAAAGAAGTAGAAGTAAAAGTTCAAACCAAAGTGTGCATTAAAAGTACCATAGAAGATCTCCGTAACTGTTTTAAAAGTAGCTTAAAAATAATTTTGCCCCATCACTATCGAGCAAATCATCAACAAAATCAGATTCGTTTGCTCCGAGATCAAATAACACAAAAAGAAGCAATTATAAATATAGATTTTTCGGAAAATTACATGTGCAAATTTAATGAGGAGATTCAAAGTGTACACTTTGGAGGATCTCGAAGGCAAATATCTCTTCATACAGGAGTTATTTATCTTAAAAACAGAAATAATGAACTAGACTGCATCTCGTTTTGTGGTGTGTCAAATGATTTACTTCACAATGCATGTGCAGTGTGGGCCCATCTTAAACCGGTTTTAGATTTGTTACTTGAAAGAAGCATTAGTATTTTTCATTTTGTTAGTGATGGACCAACATCACAATATAAAAATAAGACAAACTTTCAGCTAATGTGCTATTTTGCTAAATTTTTTAAAACAGAATTTCTTACATGGAATTTTTATGAACCTGGACATGGTAAAAGTGTGGCTGATGGTGTTGGAGGGGCACTTAAAAGAGTCGCTGATCAAACAGTTAGCCATGGGAATAGCATCACATCTGCGACAGATTTCATTGAAAGTGTTAAAAAAAATAATAGTAAAATATTATTGTATGAAGTTACAACCGGTCAAATAAATGAGATTATTGAACTGTCAAAAGAGATCGCCACAGAAAAATCAGCCTCAGTTCCAAATACTATGCAAATACGTCAAGTTATTTGGTCAAATGAGAAAAAGAGTAAACTAAAGTTAAAGCATAGAAGCTGTTTTAATTGTAACACAAAATCTGCATGTAATCATTTTCTATTAAAACCATCAGAACATTCGTTTGATAAACTGCTTTTAAACGATTTAAGCACTTCCCTTGATTCGGAACGTTCGACAGAGAGATACACTTTTGATAGTGATTCAGTGCATAAAAAAAAGCCAGATGTAGAAAAAGAAGACCTATCTCTGCCACACGTTATCAATAAAATGACCCCAGAATATGACATTACTATAACACACAAAGAAAATATGGAATTAAGTCATGACAAATATGACATACCTTTATCATATTTTAAAAAGAAGATGATTTCAAAAAATTGTAACCACGTCATGCATGTAAATAAAGCAGAAATTAATAAAGATGACTGGCTACTGATCCGATTTAAATCAGAGTAAAAGCAAGGAAGCAAACCTTTAAAATACATATGTCAAGTAATAGAAACTGAAAATAAATTTGAGGGAACTTTTTTACGGAAGAGGTCCACCAGAGATTTTCAAGGATTTGTCTATGGATTTCCAGACGTTGTAGATATTTACGAATTCAGCTACGAAGATGTAATGGGAAAACTGGAAGAACCAGAAAACTATGGCCGTGGATTATTTAAATTTAAAATTGATACCAGTGCTGAATAATATGTTTTAAATACTTTACGCATTAAGCCTATGACTGTTTTCTGTTTTGTAGAATGTTACTCTTTTTGTTTTTCTTTAATGTTGAAAAAAACTTTTTTATGTTTGAACTATAGTAAACCAATTAAACTTATAATTTAGTAGTTGAATTACGTTGTCACACCTGTCCTAATCTTGGTCACTCCTGTCTCCATATGTTTTTTGTCCATAAAACATTATTTTGTAATGTTGCAGTTATTTTCACTTCCAAAATTTCTCTATATACCTCTAATTTAGTAATAAAAAACATGCTGTGGTCAAATTAAGTAGTTACTCATTCAGTAGAGAAAAATTAAATTAAAAATATTTATCTATATCTTTTTTCTGCATTTTTCACTTTACTTTTTTACAGTTCCTTGAAAACTGTTAGAGTAAAATCTAAAAGCGATCAAAAGACTTGGTCTTCTATCGAAATTATTTTAGTTTAAGACGTAATGTTATTTAGATTACGAATTATAGTATAAAAAAGTCAAGGGGACAGAAGGGACATTTATAATAAACTAAACATTTTGCCAGTCACTTGCCAATAAAAATTATTACTTGCTTTGTATATGAACATTTATTTTGCATAATTTAAACCGTAAAAAATCATTTAGAGAAATTTACTGCAACGTATTGCAAAAAAATTAAAACTGTAAGTTTTTCTTCATTTTTTAAAGTTAAGGGAGAAATACCCATATATTTAACTATTCCTATGAGTAACGAGATGAGAGATCATTTTCTACGTTAAAACGGGTAAAAACCTATCTAAGAAACTCATTAAACGAAAAAAATGTTTCATCGTTGGCTATTCTAAACGTAGAAAGCGATATTCTAGATAAATTAGAAATAAATGGTATCATAGATAAGTTTTCGGAAATGAAAATACGTAAAAAAAATTAATTAGTTGTTTATTTTTATTAATTATTATTTATTTTGTTCGCTGTTCCTTAGAAGCTGAGTTTTTTTTTATTTTTTTGTTGTGTTATTAATTTCAGTTAGAAATTTTGTTTAAGTATCGTTTAAATATATTTTTAGTTGTTTGTACAGGGTGATCCATTATATACATATGTCGACCCCCCTAACTTTTTTCTTTAGATTTTAGAAAAAAAAGTTTTATACAAAAGTTGTAGGGTTCAACTAAAAGTTTTTTTTCTTGTTATGTTTACGTATACAGGGGGATCCAAAAAAAATAACAGATAAAAACATATTTTTTCCTATGGAATGACCTATATTTTAAATACTTATGTGATAGCTTTTTAAACGCTGATTTCAAAAATATATATGACAATATGGATATTTTTAATATATATGGCAGAAAATGCCAAAAACTGAAATTTCACTTTGGCCATGGGTCGTCATTTTTTCATTCGTCGTTTCATTATTTGTTTTGACGTCTTTATTGAGTGATTTTCACAGAAACACATTTGTTGAACTGTTTAATATTTAATATTTACCATATAAACAATAACAATCATTATTAATAAAATTATAAAACCTACTTGGGGGTGGACATTTATAATGGATCACCCTGTACCTACTAAATAATTAATAATGTATGTTTTTTTTTAAATAAATATTTATTTATTTTTTTAGATTTATTATTAGAACAATTTTTTAATTGATTAATTAAAAATTAAATTTTTTAATCATAAACCTGAAGGTGTCAAAGGTAAGTAGAAACATTCTTATTGAAAAGTTATATAGGATATTGATATGGGGGGGCGAAGTTTTGCTTGGGCCTTGGGGCCCCACTAAGTCAAAAATAGGCCCTGGTTACACTAGTATCTCCTTTTAATTCTACTAGTTGGAGCAACTCCTCATCGGTCACTTTGCGAAGAAGTGGTGGATCAAAATATTCTTGCTGCCAATCTATTAAATCAATGTAAGATTATTAAGCGTCAAGGTTGATTTTGGGCACCTCAAAAACACGCGGGAAATTTCCTTGGTGATGTGACTTTCGAGCCTTCAATATTCTTCTAGCGGCAATTTCCCGAATATGTTTTTCATTATCTGTTAGCATTGATAAGAGGAGATTGTCCGGGTGCGCAAAATAACTGTTTCTTTTCAGAACAAGATCTACGACTTCTTTAAGATTAGACGAAAGATATCTTGAATCAATTTCCAAAAAATCCTTGATCCGTCATTGCATGAAGGGTGGGTTTTTATCTCAAACCAAATAGGAGCGTAGACTTTAGTTACGAATATAGCCAAATTTTTTATATTTTCAGATGGGTCGCTGGCAGAAATATAAAGCCGTAATATTCTGTTGGCCTTCGTAAGCCATCTGGCATGCGACAACTTACCTGGAGATCTATTTAACAAATCAATTGGACACTCGCCATTTATGACTGCTGTCGTAATATCATAAAGGTATTGTTGATCGCCACTTAGATCTTTTTTGGTTATCTCCGGTAATTTCCTTTCTATCTTCTCATAGTTTACAACTGGAAGTTTTTCACAGTCCTCTAATGACTTACCAAGGATGCCTGTAAAGGTTGTTGGACCGGCTGTTGCACCATCAAGGTGTGCAAAAAGGTGTCTTAGAGGCAATTCGTTCATGTGAAGGAGACAGACGATCCATTTTAAAGGTCTTTTAATGCGCTTCTCAAATAGTCTTATTACACCACCATATTTTCCAGTATTGGTTACTGTTCCATCACAGACAACCGCAAGTAGGCTTTTCATAGAAATATTCTTCGATGACAGAAATGCATAAATTGATTGTTGAATATTCTTTGCTGTGCCCTGGGCTGGAACGACGTATCCAAGATAAATTGAGTCTGGTTCTTTCAAGATTGATATATGTTCTTCTACTACAACTTTCTTATATTTCTTTGCGCCTTTAGTCACGATCGTGGAAGTTTTGTCCTTTCTCCCATCAAAATATACAGCTGGTACAATAGGACACGCCTGTTGGGTCAAAATTTCATTTCGTACTTTTTTTCTCTCTCGACGTACTTTAGATTTGTCAATAACCTCTACATCTGACTTAATATCGTATAGAATAGCTGAGGCAATTGCAGCAGTAGCTCTGTCAGACACGCCGTATCTATCACACATTTTAGACAGGGCCGGGAAACTTCTTAGGGGCCGTTCATTAATTACGTGAGGTGTTTAGGGGGGGGGAGGGGGTCGAGCCAAACCTCACCAAATCTCACGAGGGGGGTCTCGGCAAATATCACGTAATTTTTTTTTTCCGAAAGAAAGAGTGTAAAATTGCGAGAAAACTGGGTTAAATTAAGTAAACAATTATAAGCAAATTGTTTTTTTAATAAATCTAATGGTATCCATCACAGATTAACTTATTTACATTAAAACCATGCATTTAAAAAAATCTCACGTGAGATTAAGGGGGGGAGAGGGGGTCGAGCAAAATCTCACGACATCTCACCAAGGGGAGGGGGGGGTCGAAAAATCGCCAAAATTGTCTCACGTAATTAATGAACGGCCCCTTATCAACTTCTTCTGGTGAGTTTTGTGGGAAGTTGAGAAAACGCTTCCAGGATCATGCGAGGTTGAAGGTATGTCTGCAAGTTTTACTTGGTCCTGTACACTGTCGTCGCTACCAATATACGGTGACAAACTTTCTGAACTTAAAGCAGCAGTATCTCCTAGCGTCCCTGAAGAAATGCTTTGCCGAGCTTCAATTTTTAATTTATTCGAGTTTTATTAAGTTTTTTTGTTGTTGCATGATCTATTCTACCTATAACCATTTTTCTATCGGTCCGTTGGTCTATTAAAAAAGTTTGCTCTTCTTTTGGCACCTTTTTTTCTTTTGGACACTTACACTGTTGAAAATTCTTACATTTACAATAAGAAATATCAAACAAGCAATTGCTTTGGCTCCTAAACTCATTTATTTTAATGTCTGACAGTCGTTTTAAAGATTTTATTAAAACTTTGCATTTGGAGTGAAATGCTTTTAGCAGTTGAATAACTCGTGTGTGGGTAACTGTGGGAATTGAAGCTTTTTTCCAAATATTTTCTATGCTTGTTGACACTATTTCAGCTATTTGCGTAAAAGACGGCTCTTTGCGGCTGTTCATTTTAATCTTAAAATGGTATCTTGTAAATTCATAAAATTTCATTACGTGTTCGTAGGCTGGTAACACATTGTCTTTCATATCTTCAATACTACCGAAAATAGGGCATTTACGAGCTTTTCGTGATTTCTCCATTATGTTGTAGACACTTAAAACACTTTAAAAATATGTATGAAACTTAATCAACATAACCATAACCTACAATTGCAATAAGTACGCGCGATCTTATCGGGAAGGAACTAGCAGCCGTACTGAAGTTCAGTAACTGAACCGATACGCGTCACGTTTTGCGCAGTTGATGTACCACAGTGAGTCCTCTCTGCCACGTAAATATAATAGAGATGGGTGACGACAAGTTTTTTTGTAAAAAATTGCATATATTCATTACAAAATAAATTTAAGCCATGTAATTTATTTAGTTTTTAAGCGTAATTTTTTTTAAAATAAAGTGGTATTTTTCTAAATTTCAAAATTAAAGGGCGGGCTCTTAATTTTAAAATAAATGAGAAATATTTTAGGACAATACTTTTGATTATATTTGGCATCCTTTAATTGCTATTAGAAATTGTTTTGAAAAAAAAAAACATTTTTTTGACCCACCCTAGTGTGTATTCGATGCTCAGTGCATGCTTAATATAAAAGAAGGCATAGACGTGAGAAAATATTTGAAGTTGGTACCTTTTTTGAAGAAACAGTCAGTGGGTTATATAGAGCCAAGAAGTCAAAGGTGTTGACACAACCAAATTACGATATTTTTGGAAAATGCTAGTGACGAAAATTATTTGCTGTGGAAGGTAAATATAAATAAAAATTCCTTGTGAATGGTGTAATGTATTGTTGTTTGATTAGGTAGTTTTAATTATGGGAATATCGGGGGCCATGAGACGTGATGAATTAACAAAAATAACCATTGAAGATATTCAGGACAACAACAATGTTCTAATAGTAACTGTTCCCGATACTAAAACGGACATAAACCGCACGTTCACTATTACGAATCCAAAGTATATAACACTTTATCGAAAATATGCTGCCCTACGCCCGAAACATGTTACCAGTCGTCGATTATTTTTGAGATACGAGAAAGGAAGATGCATGCACAAGTTATTGGGGTACATACGATTGGAAAAATTCCGTGTTTGATAGCGAATTACTTGAAATTGGCGAATAGTGAGCAGTACACAGGCCATTGTTTTAGGAGGAGCTCTGCTACCCTCCTTGCCGACAGCGGCGCTAGCACATCAGTTCTTAAGCGCCACGGTGCACCGCGGTGGTTGGAGATCTACCACCGTTGCTGAATCTTATGTCGAAGATTCTATAGAAAATAAAAATAAAATTGCCAATTCAATTTCCGGTATTGTATCCGAGCCTAACTTAAATCAGGGGTCAAGTACACCTGTCACGGTTTCAAATGATAACGGTTCAAAAATTGTAGATTTTACTTCAGGGATAAATATAACTAACAATACGAACTGTAATATTAATATTAACATTTACCCAAAAAATATGTAGTACTTCAGATACCTAATAAATAATTTCTAAAAACTGCCCATTCACATGTGTCAAAATAAATATACCTATAAGTGACATTTACTTTAACGGCCGTCGCTATGACAACGGCCGCGAAATATCATTTCGAGGCCGCTACAGCGTCCGCGAAATATTACTTCGCGTACAGTTGCCCAAAAATGGTTTTTTTTTCACCCAAAAGTAGAGGCGAGATAAACTACTGGAGGTGCACCAACTACACAAATGGGTGCAAGGCTAGAATAATAAATAAAAATACAGATTAAAATTTTAAGAATGATCACAATCATGAAGGTAATCCTCAAAAATTTGAATCTTTCAAAATAATCAACGCAATTAAATCTGATGCTACTACATCCCGTGATGCCTCCAGAGCCATCATCTCAAGGCAGTGTTCTGAAGGTGGTGAGGTTATTTGTGCATCTCTACCAACCGTCAGTGGCTTAGGCCAATGTGTGCGCCGTACAAGACAACAAAAAAATAAAGGAATTAGTGTTCCAAGTACGATAGAGGATTTAAACGTTCCTGAAGGATTAACGAAGACAAAAAAAGGTGAGAATTTTTTTTTATTCGATTCAAAAGATAAAAATAGGATACTTATATTCAGTACCAATAGTAATTTATCAATTTTAAATCAAAGTATACTTTGATTTAAAATTGATTGCTTTCGTAGGTACCCGTAAATCATGTGTCTTATGCATTTGATTTAATTGCAAAAAAGGGTATCATCCGACATGAAGAAAAAGCTTTTTTGAATTACTTTGAAGATACATAACATAACATGGGTGGGCTGCCGCGAAAGGCTTAATAAAAGAAAGAAAACAAAATTTGAGCATCAGCTATGGAATTTTTACGATATGACATTGAACGGTCAACAAAAAAACCAATAATATAGTTGAATCGTGTCACAGAAGTATAAACCATCAATTTTCAGCTAAAAAACCATCTATATGGAAGTTTCTAGAAGGTATTCAAAATGAGCAGGGGCTGACGGAAATGAAAATATCTCTGAGGATGTGGCGAAACAATTTTAAAGCCAAAAAAGGCCGAAAGTCATTCAGAAAGGTTAAAGACGCTTGTAAGCAGCTTTCAAGACAATTATCAAAATGAACCACATATTCTATTAAATTATTTAAAATCCATACCTTTTATTCTATAAGTATTTATTTTTTGTTTTAATTTTTAATAAAGTTAATTTTTTATTTAGTACCTGGGGTTATTATTTTTAGTTTTATTTTCACAATTAATGTGAAACTAAACCTTATTTTCTTATTTTGAATTTGATATTTTGTTTAAATATTTCAATTAATCGACATACTATTTTAATCATGCATTTTAATTTTCGATATTTTATTTATTCGATATTTTCAAATCGATATTTAAACTTTCGATATTTTAATTATTCGACATTTTCAAATCGACATTTTAATTTTCGATATTATCATTTTCGACATTTTGAATTTTCGATATTTTCATTTTCGACATTTTGTATTTTCGATATTTTGATTTTCGATAAAAAGTGTTCGATATTTTGAATTCGATATAATGAATTTCGATATTGTGAACGTCACCCCTTTAAACAGCATAATATTTTGCATATTGGTTATAATCACCTTCTTTATCTCTGGTTATAATATTTTTATGATTTATCTAATCTTTACGAGACTTTTCTGGCAATAAATTTTGTTTAACACCAAAGAAAATCCTTGTTTTCTTCTTTAACATTAAAAGCCGCTTATTGTAAATAAGTAAATTAAGGACGGCATGACGAATCGATTTTGATATTAACTATTTTTTTTTATTTTTATTTATAGATTTTTTTTTATATAAAAAATATTTTTTTTTAAATATAATTTTTCTATTATTTAAAACATTCAATATTTGAAAAAATAATTTATAACAAAATAGAAAATTAAATAATAATTTTTTTTTTAATTTTATACAAGGTGTTGCACATTTACGAAATATATCAAGTGGTGGTTTTTAGGTTGTGAAACAATGTATACCTAATCGTCAAACTAAAAGACCAAGATTTTTTTCCAATATATTTTGATATGATAAATACAAATCTGTTGTTTTATTTAAAAAAAAACAAAAATTAATTTTTTTTATTTTTATTTATAGATTTTTTTTATTTAAAAAAATATTTTTTTTAAATATAATTTTTCTATTATTTAAAACATTCACTTTTTGAAAAAATAATTAATAACAAAATATTAAATTAAATATATGTATATATTAAAATAATAAGAATGGCTGTATAAAAAATTTTAATGACGTGATTTCGTAAAACGGTAAGACACGGATACGTTTTATTAATAAATAAAAATAATAAAAATATCATGTAACATGATGTTTTATTTTTTATTTTTAATATAAAAACTTGTAAAAAATATGTGAAATCAGGGGGCCCAGTAAATATTTTCGCGGGGGGCCCAAAATTTGTCGCTACGCCAGTGAGAGGGAATAAAGATTTTAAAACCTGTTGCCTTAACAACAAATATAAAAAATACTTTATTAGTTTCCCGCCAATAATGATAGATTATTTCTAATGTTTTGATTGGCTAAAACATACATACCTACATATGGATATGTATATGGATATCCATGTCTGAAATTCAAAGATTCTATTGGTTTTTAGAAAATGCTTAAAAATATTCACACAAATGTGTCTCGGCGAATGTTTTACATTGCGTCATTAATTTGTGAACCAAGCACAGTCATTACAATTTGCTTGTTTCTTTGTATACGTATGTGGGATGTATGCCGGACTTATGTCAAAAATCAGGTTTTTGACATTTTAAATTGATGACACAATGTCAAGAATTCGCCGTGACGACTATACCTAGGCACTTTTTTTATTAGAATTGATGAAACGTGATAATTTAACGGTTAGTTTGTGTTAAGAACACCTTTCTTTAAAATTTACCAGCTGAAATTATGCAATAGGTATTATAATATTGGTTGTTTTAAAAAATCCAGGTTAGAATAATTTGTTTGGTAGTAAAAAAAGTGTGGTTTTGTATATACTTAAATTAAAAAATATCTGCCTGCTGTTATGTTAAGTATTGATTTTTATTTTTTAAATATAAACAAGAAAATACTTACGAAAATCTTATAATGCTTTTTTACTAATTTTTGTGACCTAGTCATAAAACGTGCAAAAGCATCTTTAACCCTATAGGCCTAGTTTCTGCAAATAATTGATTGTTTCCCTAATTAATTTAAAAAAGTTTAATTACTAAGTACCTGCTTACTACCAAAAACATTGTATTTTTCATCCATTTGTATCTAATTTTACCACTTCACTATCCGTATATATATATATATATATATATATATATATATATAAATATATAAGATTTGCTTTTACAATATATACAGCTCTTTCATACTAAAACCGAATATATCTATATATATATGGGGCGTGGCCTCGCCTCCCTCCAACGCGCGACACAGTAGCTAAGCAAATAGACTGCATCGCTAATGAGATTTTTTGCATTATTATCATTTAATTTTTTAAGTCCTTACCTGCTCGACCTTTCCTCATGTCGTTTATTACACAAGCAACTGTGACGCGCCTTGGAGGGAGGCGAGGCCACGCCCCATATATATATATATATATATATATTCGGTTTTATTCTAAACAGGCTGTATATTAAAATAAACAGGCGACGCTGAACAAAAAATATAAACAAATTCGAACAAAAGCACGATACGCGTAACGTTGATTCCAACTGTTGTCAAAGTTGGCTTTAGCCATCTATTGTCTTTATAGAAAAAATATTTACCATCTGTAAATTGTGGAGAGTTATTTAATTATGCCATAGATGGCGACAAATTATATTACTAAAAACTGTTAAAAAGTCTGAAATTACAAATTATTTAATACATGGAAATTACAGTAAAACCTAGGAAAACAAAGTAAATAATAATTTTCAACAATTATTTTACAAACTTAATATTATTCATAATTATTCATAATAAATATTTAGATAGCAAAAACACAATTACTTTTTTTATTAGGTTTTCACTAGTTTTGTAATTTGTGGTCCTCATACTCGCCAGGTCTAATTAAAAATAATTTACTTTTCCGCAATAAAAAATATATTTTTTACTGAAAAATTAAAAGAGCCTATTTTAGGCTCATGAAAATGTCCTTTTAGGACAATAAATCAAAATTTCGCCATTTTAGGCTAAAACAAAGGGGTGTCAAACACTTTATTTTTTTAAGTTTAGGATTAATTTCAAGGTCCCAAACAAATGCCTAAAATAGAAACAAAAAGGCATTTTGCCTAAAATCCGGTCCTTGGTAATAACTATAATGCTTGACACATCCAGAACGCATCCCAGTCAGCATCCAATTCAGAAAGATTTCAGTATGAAGTCTTTTAAATAACTTCGTGTAGAAGTTCTAACATGACGTCTTAAACAGCTCCTTTTTATGAGCTCAGAATTCTGAGCTGTTAATTAACTCATAAATAAGAAGTCAATTTTTTTACGTACAAATGAAGATCTTTTCTTGACCTCTTTTTGAACAATTTATTTTGAGCTTACAGAGTATTCTTTTTTCTTACTTCCAATTGAAATCATACTATTAACTCTTTTAGAAGTCAACATGGAGACGTCACATTTATGACATTTTAATGCGATTACTTTCTTCTCACCGCTGTAACTGCTTGTGTTTGATATAAGAAGCGGCGAAGTAGAATTTAGAGCGTGCTCCATACCAAACGGTCTTAGACCTAGGTAAACGGCTACCCGATACTGACGAGCTCCAAAAGAGCGAAACAGGCCGTCTATCGGTGCCAGTGAAAAGCACGCTTGAATTTAAACAAAAGTGAGACGAAGTAATCACAATTCCTAAAATAAGCGAATACTAGCAAAGTATTAAAATGATTTTAATAAAATCAATTTAACAAATTAATAAAATTAATAAAATAAACTTGACATGTCAAAATAAGCAACGATCCAGTATGCAATTTCTTCATCAGTACCCTAGTAGTACTTCTATATTCAAAACGGAAAATTCTAAAGAAGTCTTTTTATAAGTTTATACAGTAGGACTCTTTAAAATGCTTAATTGCGAAGTCAAAGAAAAGGGTTCCTCAAGAGTTCTTTTTTGAGATGTCTTGATTTGTTCAATAGGTGGCGCATTCGAAGTCTTAAGAACTTCTTAAAAACTTCTTTCTGATGTTGTATTTGACGTCCAAATCATAAAATAGAGCTTATGCAGACTTAATTAAGACGTCATATTGCTGTCTGGGATATTCGATACTTCCTACACTATGTGATGTGTGGTACACTAGGGTGCTTCATTTGAAACGAACATTTTTTTTTTCCCGCTGACACATAAAAATTTTGTTCCTTGTATCGAAAAAAAAATTCCCTGAAAATTTGAGCCCTTAATTTTAATTTTCAGTGGTTCCTCTCGATCGATATCGATCGAGAGGAACCACTGAAAATTAAAATTAAGGGCTCAAATTTTCAGGGAATTTTTTTTTCGATACAAGGAACAAAATACATATGTATATTTTCCATTGAAATAACATGTAAATCATGATTTTTTTAATTAAAATTAACATAGCTCCGTTTGATTTCATGGTAGGTATTTCATTGCGATTAGTCAGAATTTGTAGTATATTAGTGACTCTTTGAAAGTGCCCACCAACATTTTTTTGTCCTTGAACCCGTCTCATCGGTCTCGGCCTCGAAACCCCAATTTTCTCAAAAATTGTTATATTTTCGTTTTTATCAACAAAACAGTTGAACTTCTGAAAAAAATGGTCAGAAAATAATTTGTAGGAAATTAAATTTCCTACAAAAATATTCCTGTATGAATTTTCTGAGGTCCATAGTCCAAAAGGTATAAACAGTTTAATGTATTAAAATCTAAAAAAAATATGAAATTTTAATTTTTATTGTATGATTTTTCAACTTACACTTTTGTTTAACAAAGTTAACCTCATTCAACTTTAAAAAAAAAAAAAAGATCGGTAATATTGGGAAGAGATGTTAAAAAAAATTTTTCATCGCCTTATCTTCAAGAGTAGAATGTCTCATGTGAATTTCTGATATTTATTGAGTGTAAAATATTTTATTTTGTTCTT